GAGACGGAGCTGGCCCTGCGCCAGAGTGTGGAGGCTGACATCAACGGCCTGCGGCAGGTCCTGGACCAGCTCACGCTCTGCAGGTCTGACCTGGAGGCACAGCTCGAGTCGCTGCGGGAGGAGCTCTGCTGCCTCAAGAAGAACCACGAGGAGGTAGGATCCTGTGCACTCTGTGCAAGAAGGATCTGTCAGCCTCCCTGCCTATGGTCCCCATCCCTTGGGTGCTGGCTGCAGGGGGCAAGCGGCTGATGGCGACAATACATGTGAATGGGAGCTCTGAACATCCAGCAGAGATGGGCACTGCCAGGGGTTAGGCTCTTCCCTGCCAGGGAACTTGGCTCCTGCACTTTCTTCCTTCTTTTTGAAACCTGACCTGCTCTGGGTGGTGTTTGCAGGAGATGAACTGTTTGAGGAAACAATCGACTGGAGATGTGAGCGTGGAGGTCAATGCGTGTCCTGGCCCAGACCTCAGAAAGATCCTGGAGGAGATGAGATGCCAGTATGAAACACTGATTGAACGCAATCGCAAAGAGGTTGAGGATTGGTACGAGTGCAAGGTGAGTGAAATCACACAGCTCTGACCTTCCCCAGCTAACATGCAGCAATGGTTCCACAGTCGTTTATCACACATTAAAACCACACAATGTACTGTAGTAGCCTTTAACATTGGTTTAACTGGACCAAGTGACACAGGGGATGCTGCCACTCTATGTCCCTGCCATGGGGTGATGGAAAGTGCTGCATGTTAGTGACACTTGAGACAGGAACTCTTTACAAAGCAGTCAGTGGTGAGAACTAACTGGACAGCAGTACTATGAGAAGAACAAGAGGGTTTACTCTCCATTAGGATGAAAGAGTTGACCCAAACCTTTGCCATGTCATGCTTTTGCTAGCTTCTCTGCAATTTCCTTAATATTCTGCAATTTCCTTAATACATCTGATTTACATTACACATTCCCTGATGCTCTCTCTTCTGGATTGGTGATTTTCAGATTGAGGAGGTGAATCGGGAGGTTATTACAAGTGGTCAGGAGGTAGAGACGTGCAACAACCAGGTGACTGAACTGAGACGCCAATTGCAAGCCCTGGAAATTGATCTCCAAGCTCAGCTCAGCCAGGTGTGTGTCAAACTGGTCTCAAGCTCACCTGCCTCACAGTTATATTTGATGTCAGAATTCACAGTTAAATGCAGTGTTTCTCATCCTGTCCTGGTGCCTCATGTCACCCCTCAGAGGGACAACCTGGAATCCTCACTGGCTGAGACAGAGTGTCGCTACAACAACCACCTTGCTGAGCTCCAGAACCAGATCACGTGCGTGGAGCAGCAACTGGCTGATCTGCGGGCAGAAATGGAGTGCCAGAACCAAGAGTACAAGATCCTGCTGGACGTCAAATGCCGCCTGGAGCAGGAGATCCACACATACCGCTGCCTGCTGGAGGGGGGACAGCAGGACCTTATGTAAGTAGGCTTGATATGCACCAAAAGACACAATAAAATACCCTGTCCTGGGTATTTTAACACACCAGGAAAGTGAACAATAGGTGATGGCATTGCACAGCCCCTTCACCCTCACTGCCCTACCTGTGTGCCTGGCAATCAGGGCTGATAATCTGCTTCCCACCCTGTGCCAGCCATTGCCACGAGAAAGGTCACTGCAATATTCTGCTGACTGGGAGCAGCAGGGACAGTAGAAAGCTGTAGTTCCAGTTCATCTGTCATTTCTAGCACTAAAATGCTATTTTCCTGTCCCCTTAGTCAGCAAGGAGGAATTGGTCAGTCCTCAGGTCTAGGAGGAGGAGTTGCAAGAACAAGTGGAATAGGAGGAGGAGGTATCATTCGAACAAGCCACACTTATACTTCGTCTTCCCAGATGCCTTCCTGTGCAGCTGCGGAGATACAAGGTAAGAACTGCAACGCTCAACAGGATTTCCACAGCGCAGCAAGCACAGGCAGCAACAGGGACCTTTCCCATGTAGCTTAAAGGTGTTATTTGAAAGTTTTATGGTGAGGCAACTGGGAAACACATGATGGGAGGCCATGGGGGAGTGGCTAGAAGTGCTGTCAGGATCTGTGACTCTGCTAGGATGCAAAAGGGGATGAGAGGGAAGGGGGATGGAAACAAGAGGGACTGGCTGGCAGGCAAGGCACAGGGATCATGGAGAAAGGGCTGAAATGAAATCTGGGACAAAGGAAAGAATAGGAGAAAGCACGTGCCCAGAAATCAGGAAAAAGCAGGAATCATGGGGATACTGGCAGAAAACTACTCATACTAGTTCAAGGGGAAACTTCCAGTCAAACTAAAAAAGAAATAAAGAAATATGGTGACAGTTGGTCCATGAGGAGTGTGAGCAGGGCATTGTGCTGGCAGGGACCCTGATGCCACTCCTGCACCCAGACTGCTGCAGTGGCAATGGCTGCAGATTCCACCATTTAGTGTGTTTATGTATGAGGGCAGAGCATGCTCCAGCAAGCTCCCAACCCTGTCTGCCTGGCTGGCAGGCAGCAAGCAGGCCTTTCCAGGAAGCACAGTGTTTATCTGGAGTTCTGATCGCATTGGCTTGTGGAATGAGCGCGGGTACAGAGTGACAGTGTGGGAAAAAATCTAATTTTGCTATAAACAAAATAATGTTTCCTTTAATCTCTTCAGTGCCTTGCAGAAGGATTTGTGATTAAGCAGAGAAATGAGAATATCCAACAAGAGAACCCTGAATCTCTTCATCCAGAGCTATGGGTGAAGAGAAAGGATATTTAGCATATGCCCCTGCAGAGAGCAGGGACATGTTCTTCTGTATTACTCAGCAATGCTAAGCCATGTGTCAGAGGGATGAGCGAGAGCGTTGGGCCACATTCTGCTTTATTTTGCTATGTGCTTTTTCCAATCTGTATTGCTGCATGTGCCCAAGCACCATGACTATTGCTGGAGCTCACCAGTTGTGTGGTCACCGTGTACCTGCTGGTGAAAAAACGTCTCTAATAAAACTTTGCTTCTGCCTGATGCAATCAAGAGCCCTGTGTCGGGAAACTGCCTTCCTTTAGAAAAGCAGGTGCTGATTGATCCATGCACAAGGGCCACCTGAGCTGCTCAGGATCCCACCCCCCTGGGAACAGAGCTGCTTTGCCAGTGGGAGCCAGGGAATGGCTTCGCTGACCTCACAGGTCCTGTCCTTCTCATCCCTGTCAAAGCCTGTAGCACTCATGGCCCGTTCCTGCATGACACCCCCCATGCCCTACACAAACAGAACAGGCAGGTGCCTGTGGGCTGCCCACAGAGCACTGTGCTACAACACAGCTTTAGAAACATTCTGAGAGTCAGTGATAGAGACAGATTGCCTCAGCCCCAGCCCAGTGCTGACACACCGGGGCTGAGCCCCTCATACTGTATCACCCAGCCTGGGGACTGTGATTAGGTTGAAAAAGAAATCTTGGTCTCCAGAACTGATTCAATTTTTGCTGACACAGCTTATATTCTGACCCACTGCTTTCATTTTATAGGAATTTTCCCATTGGGAAAAGGATTGGAAGCAAAAGGTTTATATCCTGCCTATTTTCACATAGTGACGGGGTCATTTACTGGTCATCCTATTTCAAAGAGTTTCAACCTGAAAATGAGGAGCCACTAAAAGATCATCTTTACATTAAACACACCTTCTCTGGACAGGATGGGAGCTGAAAAAGTGCAGCTCAGTAGAGAACAGAATGGGAAAAAAAGCACTGAGACAGTATGTCTCAAACCTCACGAGCAAGGCAAAGATCCTTCCCTCCTTGAGCCTCGAATAGCAGCCCCATAGCTGGGGCTGAGTCAATAGGACTGGCATGGTGCGGGCATGTGTCCTGACACTGACCTGCCTGGAGACGCAAAGGCAGCAGCTTGGTAAGTCAGGGCCCTGCAGCACTTGTGGTGGGTGCAGCCCTGGGAACCAGCCCTGGTGAGCTTGCAGAATGTTCAGTTAAAAGCCATCAGGAACTGAAGAGTGTTCTGAGGATTGTCTGTTGGTCCAGGAAACCAAGCAGTGATGGGTTTTACGTGTCCACCCCACTCTGCAGGTTCAGAGCTGAACAGCAGCACTGGATGCTGCTGTTGTTCCTGGTATGCTGTGATGTGGCTGTTATAGTCACATTCACTGATGAGATGACCTGGCAAAGCAAAACTCCTGGTTACTCATTTCTGACAAAAGCTGGAGGTTATGGAGCTGCCAGTCTCAGGGAGGAGGACAAAGGGTACAAAGACAAAAGCATCTCAGTACAGTGGCACACTTTTATATCATCAGTTCTTTTATATAGACACTAATTTCCCTGTCACTACAGAAACAGACTTAACACAACCTGAAACCTTCCAGGACAGCAGTGCCTCCAAGGCCCGGAGCTTGGCAAGTGTCTGAAGAAGCCCAATCATTAATGTATCAGGGAGCAGGTGAAAGGGGCCCTTCTCCTGCTGTAAAACACAACGGAGAGAAGATGTATTTCATCTACCCAATAGTATCCAGGGGCTAGAGCAAGTAAGAAAATGCAGCACCAGAACAACTGTAGTAATGACTCAAAAGAATAGCCATAGGTAGAAGTTTTTAAACCAAGGCTGTGGATCAGGTCTTCTTTAAAGATTAGTTCCAGTCCTACAGAAAGTCACAGACTTGATGCAGAAATCTATCAGTAGCCATGTAAGGCCAACGCTTCACAAGAGACCAAAAGAGATACTTATCATGGTTATAATGGCAAATTTCCATTGGTTGGACTCCTCTGTTTACACCCCAGTTGCACTCAGAGAAGTCAGAAAGTGTCTCCTTCTTCCTTTCCCATTGTCTTCTCCTGCCTCATTCAGGGCAAAGACACAGTACAAAAACCCCACTGCTGCACTTCCCAGCCTTGGTTTTTCCCAGTCTACGAGTCCTCACACTCTAATTTCTAAAAATACAAAGCTACTGTACTGATGCTCTTCCAGTTTCCAGTCTGCTGGAAACTCAAGGCGATCTACAACACATAAAACTTGTCGCTTTCTCCTGGGAGCCCCAGCTGATTCCCACTGGATCTGGGCTAGTTTTCTCCTCTTGCGAACTGCTGCTGACATCTAGCTGCTCCATCTGCTTCCCTGTGTTTCTACCAAAGGCCTTCCCACCCTTCCCGCCAGGTCCGGCAGGCACAGACCATGCACTTCCACAAAGGAGCTGTCCTAAATTCCTGAGAGGTGAAAGAGACCTAATGACAAGGACTCCAATGAACCAGACTTTATGAATATGCCTCTGGAAAGCCCCCAGGGCTGCAAAGACTTAGCTCTTGTTTGTGGTCCTACAGGTTGGGATGCATCTGGAAAGCAGCTCATGAGAAGGTACCTTGTGATAAACTGTTCCCCAGCAGAAAACACCCTGAAACAGCCTTTATATTAAAGAGCTGCAAATTATGGAGCTGCAAACCTCAGTCTGGAAACCATATTTCCATGAGTTTTACGTATTTCTTTGTGCTAATGAAAGAGACCCAGGGAGCTTCTGAGCTCAAATAACTGAATGAAAATAGGAGGAAAATCTTAATTTACTTTTTTAGGGTCCTCAGAAAAATGATTTAATTCTATCTTAGCTTAACCAGTTCACCCATTTCCTGAAGACGAAAGGAAAAATAGCAAGAGAGAGGCCAAGTGTGTGCCACATGAGGATCCTGGGCAAAGGGGCCTGCTGGAGGCAGCAGGAGGAGCTGAGTCGAAGGGATAAAGCTCCAGCCCATGGGGTACCCCAGAAAAGCAGAAGGCATCCTCTCTGCCCTCCACAATAACTAGCGTGATAGGCATGTAGACATCCTCCACTCCCACAGAGGAGTAAAGTCATTCCATGTTTCTGCCTGCATTATTCTGATGTGCTAAAATGATAAGTGTGGATCTGGGGAAGGAATGTGTGCTCACTCAGAAAAGATGCTTGCTGCAGACAGCTGTTGGGAAACTCCAGAGGAATCACACACAGGACAGGCAAAGCTTCAAGCGATGCAACATTACATCAGTTTCGGTTCATTCTTAACACCACACCCTGACTCCAATTATGTTCTCCAGTCCTAGTAATGAAATCCAGGTATTCCTTCCTATGCACAATAACTTTATTGGAGTTTTTACCTATTCTGAGCTTTGCTCCTTTGTATTTAGGGGCTGAGTGGAGCACAACTTGAAGGAAGGGCAGGCTGACACGCAGGCACTGAGGTCTGACACAGGAGACCCACGTTCAAGTGCAGACTCTGCCAGAGGCAGGCTCTCTGTCTTTGAGCAAATCCCTTTGAGCAGGTCTTTCCACACCTCTGCCTCCAGCTTGCTGGAGATATCACCAGAATGCTGCTGGCTTTCACTGTGCTGGATAAGTAATATCCAAGAAAGAAGAGATAAGAGGAGGCATCTTTTAAACAGAAGTAAGGAGAATAAGAACAATAAAATGATGGGCAAATCCATGAATACTGGGATAATTCAGCCCTTCAATAAGTGGGATTATTTAGTTGCCATACTAACACCTATTCCAGTCCACAACCCTGACACAAAGTGAGGATTTGAGCACTTGCTCCCTGGTGAAGCAGGCTTGGAGAACTCCTTGCAGTGAATGGTTAGTTTCAGAAAGCTCTGGAACGCCTGTCTCTTGCTCAATGTCAGTAGAAACAGGTTCTCTCTAGAGAGAAGCCCACTGCTCTTGAGCCTTAGCAATACACTCATGAAAATCAGCTTAGCCTAAATTGTGATGTCAGAAGAGTGAAAGGATTCTGATTTTTATTTTCTCTGCCTAGTTAAGATTTGGAGACATCAGTGGTAGAGAAAAGCCTCTAGTTTGTGCTTCATTCATCTTCTCTGAGCCACTGCAGAACTCTATAGGGCCACGACTGCTCTGCCAGCTGTATCAGCAATCCTGCCTTTATATTTCATAGGACATGATCCCAAACCTCTTATTAGAATGCAGCGCATATACACAGAGAACTAGTCACAGGATGTTTCCACTCCCATTCACTGTTTCAAAGCACCCATCCTTTGCTGGAACAACCACTATCCATAATGATGAAAACTGCAGAAACACCTTTCACTGAGCAACAGGAAATACATAAAGTGCTTTTACCTTCCTTTATACTCTCCACATAAGAAACAAACCCTTTGTGCATTACTGGAGAGCCATGATCATATGCAAGGCACCTTTCATCCGTGTCCATTAAGTGATCACTCTACAGCCTCACTTGTCTTGTAGCAGAGCTCTGGATTTGTCATTTTGCCAATAGAAAGACTTAAAGGTTAATCTCTGCGTCTCTGATCCTTCCACAAAGTTCTTACATCATTCCTCATACATCATTCGAGAGTCAAACTTCGTATTTGTTCATTCTTTTTCATCTTACATATTCCAACATCAGCACCTTGCATGGAAACTGCTTATTCAACTCAAAATAAAATGAAAATAAATTAATGAGAGATAAAGAGCTCTTTGATGCAATAGCCTTTAATGATTTCTTCCTGGTATATAATTTAGGACAGTGTTTTTCCTGGCTTAATGTTGTAAAGTTTGCATCATAAACAAAAAGCTGATGATTCATAAAACATTACTGCTAATGTATTTTTGAAATTAGCAAGAGACATGTAAAATATCTTCCTTGTCTACCAGGATTCCTAAAAGGAAACTTCCCTTTGAGAAATTATTCTTGGCACCAATGGCTGGGGTAGCTGGCCTTATGGGAAGAGGATTCAGTGGTGACACCCACTCTGGAAGGTATAAATAGAGTTTCTCCACCACGGACAGCTCGCAGTCTGATTTAGTATCAAGCTGTGCATCTTGCTTTGGGCTTCTGCTTGCATTTCCAACTGCTGTCACCATGAGTTGCAACATTAAGGAGACTGTTACTGTGTCTAGCAAAGGCAGGAGCAGTGGTGGCAGCTGTATCGTTGGTGGTGGTGGTGGAGCACGGATTTCTTCCTATGCAATAGGCAGTGGCAGAGGTTTTTCTGGAAGGAGTTACTGCGGTGGAGTGAATTATGGAGGGGGACTGAGTGTTGGTAGCTTGGCTGGTGGGAGCTTTGGAGGTGGCAACTGCTATGGCAATGGCCTTGGTTTTGGCCTTGGAGGCGGTGTGGTTGGTGGTGGTCTTGGTGGCGACTGTTTGCTTTCATCTTGTGATGAGAAGGTCACCATGCAAAATCTCAATGACCGCCTGGCTTCCTACCTGGACAAGGTGAAGTGCTTGGAGAAGGAAAATGCTGAACTGGAATGCAGAATCAGAGAGTGGTATGCGACACAGGGCCTCTCCTGCGAGCCCCGGGACTACAGCTGCTATTACAAAGAAATCGAAGATCTTCAGAACCAGGTAATCCCCTTTTCAGTTGTTCCTTCCCCATTTAAAGTTTATGTCTCAATTTGTATTTAGAACCTACTGCAATTGTTAGAGCTAACTTGGTGCTGCTAAATGTCTTTGCAAACATAAATTTTGGCAAGTTGCCCTATGGCATGTTGTGGGTGCACATCAAAGACATGCTGCAGGGTGATACAGGTGGGGTGATACTCTTCAAAAGGAAAAGGCTGCTTTGTTGAGTTTGGACTATACAATTATGAATCTGATACCAAGTGTGCTCTGAGGAGATGTAGTGGTGTCAGCCCAGTAGGAAGAGCAAAACAAAGAGAACTGTAGAACCAGAGCAAAACACACAAATGCTGTATCAAACAAGGCATTGTAAATTTTAGGTGAGACAAGCTGAGGATCTGAAATTGATTGCCACAGTGGCACAAACAGCTTGATATTAGTATGTCCACAGTGAAAGTTATGGCTGATCTTAAGGCTTAAAGATACCTTCCAACCATCTTCCCTGAGGATCCTTAAGCTTGAAGCCCAGAACACACCAGCTTTAATGTCAGCTGAGATGTAATGTCTTAAGGTTCTTTAGGTTCAATTCTTTGTGAAGCACCTTTGGGACTTGCCCTTAGATCTTGAAACTGGAAAGTTCCATCTCAGAGCTCTTTAACCCCCAGCCTCTACACAGTTGACCTCTTTACTGACTGTGAGTGAAGGAGGCAAAGCTCCTGCAAGCTGCTCAAGGAACAAGGTTATTTAATTCAGAAGGTAACAGAAAAAGGAGCTTGTGAAGGGATCCTGCCTAACTGCAATCTAGATAGACCTATAGAGTAAAACAGCAGAGAGAAATGAGACATCTCTCATGGTCTGCTCTCTTCCAGATTGTCTGCGCAACCATTGATAACAACAAGATCATTCTGGACATTGATAACAGCAGGATGGCTGCTGACGACTTCCGAGTGAAGTAAGTGCCCCTCTCTGCAGATGGACCCTGCTGCCTCCTCCCTGCTCCTTTACACCTCACTTGTGGAGTCTCAATGTATAATTATAGACTTCAGACAAGTCTCACTCCAACACCACATTAGGACAGAGTGGCGTGATGAAAGGCATCTTGCTCTTGGTCACCAGCCCTCCCTTAATTAGTATTCTTGGGTAAAGCATTTGGCAAGTACTTGTGGTGAGGGCTGGGGACGCACACTGCAGGGAGTGGTCCTTAGTGATGTGGTTGGTGCATTTCCATCAAAAGCAGTGTAGACTGGGATCAGCGAAACAGAAACACAGCTGGGTAAGTGACTTTTTACAAGGGCCTGTAGGGACAGGACAAGGGGGAATGGCTTTAACCTGCCAGAGGGGAGACTGGGATGAGATTTTAGTAGAAGCTCTTCCCCATGAGGGTGGTGAGGTTGCTCAGAGAAGTGGTAAATGCTCCACCCCTGGCAGTGTGCAAGGCCAGCTTGGATACAGGGGCTTGGAGCAACCTGCTCTAGTGGAAAGTGTCCCTGCCCATGGCAGGGGGTTGGAACTGGATGAGCTTTAGGGTCCCTTCCAACCCAAACCATTCTATGATTCTATGATTCCACAATACCAAACACACAGTGATCAGGAGCAGGAAAAAAACAGATGAGGAAGAAAAGCTTCCACAGAACAGACATTAAGTGCAATGCAGAAATCCAATGCACAGAGCATTCAGCTGAGAGAACAAACTGCAGTTTAGAGCAGGTAGTTGGGCAAGGAAGGAGACCTCTGCATGAACCGAGCACATGTGAGATCTCACTGCTCTCTGGCAGGTACGAGACGGAGCTGGCCCTGCGCCAGAGTGTGGAGGCTGACATCAACGGCCTGCGGCAGGTCCTGGACCAGCTCACGCTCTGCAGGTCTGACCTGGAGGCGCAGTGGCGCTGGGGGAGGAGCTTTGCTGCCTCAAGAAGAACCATGAGGAGGTAGGATCCTGTCCACGCCACTGGAGCACCATGGCCCTGACAGAAAAGTGCCTTTGTGAATGTGCTTTAGGTTTAAAAGTGAAGAAAAGCCATTTTCATACCACAGCTTCCCATCAAACTCTTTGGGGTTCAGACCTGCATGGGATGGGGGGAGCTCTGGCAGAGATGTGACCACTGCTCTTGCCAGTGCTGGGAGTGCCAGAGTGGGGCGAAATTGCTGCTGAAATTGGGAAAGAAGTTACCCAACACTTGCACCATCTTCCAGTGCTTACTGCAGCCACAGCTCGGGGGTGCCCTCTCAGAGGGCCATCCTCAGCCACCCAGCTCTGCTCTTTTGTGCTGTCTTTCAACCTCCAGTGTGCGTCTGATCTGGGTTCTATTTCCAGGAGATGAATTGCCTGAGAAAACAATACACTGGAGACGTGAGCGTGGAGGTCAATGCCTGCCCTGGACCAGATCTCAGGCAAATCTTGGAGGATTTGAGATGCCAGTATGAGACACTGATAGCGCGCAACCGCAAGGAAGTTGAGGATTGGTATGAGTGTAAGGTAAGTGACATGTGCCTGCTTCCAATGGACACACATGCACATTGGAGACAATAAGCAGTTTTTCCCTTACAGTGAAGCCCGAGATCAGCACTTATTATACACTGTGCTCCACAGGAGACACAGGCCTGTCTGACCAGTTTGTTATGTTCCGTCTGGAAGAGCAGCCTTTGCCACAAGGCCTTGGGGTGTGTTGTTGGAGCTAAAATACTCCACAGTTGGATTAAAGAGACTTAATAGCCACAAGCTTAATGTGATGTTTAAAGTGAGCCGCTGAAGCCAGCGGTTAACATCCAGAGCAAGGAACTTGCCCTGCTCACTTTTCTTTATGCCAGCTGTATTCTGCTTCTGTAAAAGCAAGTCCAACTTGCACAGATATTCCCTGATGCTCTTTCTTCTGTATTGGCGACTTTCAGATTGAGGAGGTGAATCGGGAGGTTATTACAAGCGGTCAGGAGGTAGAGACATGCAACAACCAGGTGACTGAACTGAGACGCCAATTGCAAGCCCTGGAAATCGATCTCCAGGCTCAGCTCAGCCAGGTGAGTGGTGAATATCCCTACAGCCGTGATGAGGTTATTGCTGGCCTTCTTGAACAGCCAGACCGAGCAATTAGAGTGGTGGGGTGAGCAGCTCTTTCATCTCCAGGGTGACATTTAAACGAATGTTGTTTCTTTGGTTATCTTGTTTATCAGAGAAATAATTTGGAATCCTCTCTGGCTGAGACTGAGTGCCAGTACAATACCCTCCTCGGTGAGCTCCAGAACCAGATCACGTGCGTGGAG